TTCACTTGCCCGCTTTCTGCGCCTTCTGTGCGGACTTGGTGACCTTGCCAGCGCCGCCGCTCTTCTTCTCCACGTTCTTGATGACGCCCACGGCCACAGTCTGCCGCATATCGCGCACGGCGAAGCGGCCTGCGGGGAGAGATGTGTAAACTGCGGGGGCGCCCAGGACGCAGTGCGCAGGTGCATTGGGCGTCCGCAGAACCGCTTAATGTCGCTTAAAGGGAGTGCAAGGGGGAATCACTCGACTTGCGGTTGGTCCCGGGGAAGCCCTCAGAAAAGAAGCACCATCCCAGATCTGTCAGTCTTGAGAGGGGCGGTGGGGGATGTGTGTGTGTGTGTGTGTGTGTGTGTGTGTGTGTGTGTAATAAAACCTCCTACTAAATGCTTCACTCCCCTGATCCCTCCCGCAAGCATTGACCCCAGCTTGGGTCAACCACCATCTTGGGTTACACCGTGGATCACCCAGCTCACCGAGAGGTGGGTACTGTGAGAAACTCTCGGTGGGGGGTGTGTGTGTGTGTGTGTGTGTGTGTGTGTGTGTGTGTGTAATAAAACCTCCTACTAAATGCTTCACTCCCCTGATCCCTCCCGCAAGCATTGACCCCAGCTTGGGTCAACCACCATCTTGGGTTACACCGTGGATCACCCAGCTCACCGAGAGGTGGGTACTGTGAGAAACTCTCGGTGGGGGATGTGTGTGTGTGTGTGTGTGTGTGTGTGTGTGTGTGTGTGTGTGTGTGTGATAAAACCTCCTACTAAATGCTTCACTCCCCTGATCCCTCCCGCAAGCATTGACCCCAGCTTGGGTCAACCACCATCTTGGGTTACACCGTGGATCACCCAGCTCACCGAGAGGTGGGTACTGTGAGAAACTCTCCACACACATGGGCTTTCCGGGGACCATCTCAACAATGGCTGCATCACCAGACTTCAGAGACTTGGGATTGTCCTCCAGCTTCTTGCCAGAACGCCGGTCAATCTTCTCCTTCAGCTCCGCAAACTTGCAGGCAATGTGGGCTGTGTGACAGTCGATAACTGGTGAGTAGCCAGCGCTGATTTGCCCAGGGTGGTTCAGGATGATGACCTGACAGCAGAGTTGAAGACAGCCATGAGTCAGGTCCCCTGGGACAGAGCCATTGTTAGGTGGGGTGGCTCCAGTCACAGGGTCACCTCCCAATCCCCAAGTTTTTGTGCAAGGAATGTTCAGGGCACAGGAACCCCACTTCTGGGCTCATACCCCACCCCCCAATATTTTGCCAAGCAAACTGAGAGGCAATCAACAGATAGCTGCACTGTTTAAGAACCAGGACTGCACAGGCATATTAATCCTGACCAGAACCAAGGACCAGGACAAAACCAAACCTCAATTATAGGGCTTCTATTACATTTCAAAAAAAAAAAAAAACTGTTCTAAAATTCTCATCCTATGAAGAGATGACAAAAAAGGTGTAAGATGACTCTGGAACAAAGGTGCTTGCTTCCAGGTCTTGACCTGAGTTCCATCCCTGGAGCCACATGATGGAAGTAGAGAGCTGATTCCAAGTTGCCCTCTGACCTCCACACATGTACTGTGGCGTATGCATCTGCCCAGAGAGAACTGACGCTCTGCTTACCTGCTAGTAACTCTGAACACTGAGCGGCCTTAGGGTGAAAAGGAGGGCTTTCCCTTCAGTGCCAGGCGAAGGGCCAGAAGCTACTGTTCTTTGATACCCCAGTCCATCTTTCCCCCTGTTCTGATAAAGAACCACATCCACTAGCCCAGCCACCAACCTGGGAGGTGAACTGGGCAGCCTCCTGAGGTGGGTCAGATTTGCTGTCCCCACAGACATTGCCCCGGCGAATATCCTTGACGGACACATTCTTCACATTGAAGCCCACATTGTCACCAGGCAGGGCCTCGCTGAGCGCCTCGTGGTGCATTTCCACAGACTTCACCTCTGTGGTGATGTTTACTGGTGCAAAGGTCACCACCATACCAGGCCGAAGGATACCAGTCTCCACTCGGCCCACAGGCACAGTCCCAATGCCTGGGACAAGAGAGGATACAGTGAGAGGGCAGGCCAGAGAAGGGGTGCGGGCAAAACAAAAAGCAGAAAGCCTGCAAGTAGACAGAGTTCAGGGCTTGTTCCTCTTTGAAGGTATCAAAGGAAGTAGAGTCATGGAGGAAGTAAGGAAACGGGGTCCCTAGACAAGCAGAGGGTGAAGTGACAGCAGGAGAGTCTCCCCTGACCCCATCAGGGAATAAGAGACTAAATCAGAGTTCCCAGGATTCAAAGGTAAGGGTCAGGACAGAAAAGGGAGCATGGGGTTGTTTCCTGGAGGACAGCTGTCCCTCAGAGGGAGCATCACCAGTGTCCCTTCTCTCTCTGAGAGCCACAGCCAGGCATGGGCCAACTCACTGGGATGCACTCGCGAACATAGGACTCCCCAAGTCCTGCTGTAACCCTGTGGTTCTACCGCTGAAGAAGCATCTGGCCCCAGCACTTCTGGCAGCCCTGCCCACACTGGCAGTGTGGTTACCAAAGGGATACCTTGGTGAGCAAAAGTGGCTGAGAGAGGGAGCACTGCTCTCCGCCATTCCCTGGAAGACTGGGGGGTGGCATTATGGGGCGATGGAGAAAAGCCAGAGGGTGTGTTCTGTGTTGGAGTGAGCATCAGCATGGTATCCTCAGTCCGTCCTCTCCCTTTGCTTGTCTCATGTTTGGCTTTGGTTTCTATTGACTAATGACTTGCATTTCTCATTCCTTGACTTGGACTGCCTCCCATGAGACAGGCGCCCCTCACCCTGCAGGTGAAGTGTAAGTCAGTTCAAAGCTCCCATCTGATGTCCCTGGCTCCTGGCTGAGTGCTTGGGGATCTGGGGAGTGGGAAAGGAATCCTACCGAATGCTAGGTGAATGGATGGATGGGTGGAGGTGGGTAGGAGGGGTGTGGATGGATGGATAGAACAAGAATCAAGGGTGCGGAGGAAATGGATGAGTGTAAAAGAACATGGAAGAGAGGTGGGTGGAGACGAACAGCCTGAGGGCTCCTTGTTGATGTCCCTGTCAAGATTGGGGACAGAGTCTGCAAGCCCCTGCAGGGAGAAATGAGCTCCCATATGTATCTTGGGTCTAGTGAATTCATTATCACCGCCTTCAATACTGAGACCTCACTCACCACCAATCTTGTACACGTCCTGCAGTGGGAGGCGAAGGGGCTTGTCAGTGGGGCGGGTTGGGGGCAGGATTGTGTCCAGGGCTTCTAGCAGGGACACGCCACTTGCATTTCCTTCCTTGCGCTCTACTTTCCAGCCCTTGAACCATGGCATCTGGGCAGGAAAAAAAAAGGTGCCAATTATAGGGCAACCCACCTGACCACACCCTCAACCTCAGATCTCTGAGATTCTGGGGGTGGCACCTGCCTAAAGGATAGCCAGGGGAAGGAGACTCACTGTTCAAGCTGAATAGCTTGCTCCTCATCCCTTTCTCACATTCCCAACCTCATAGGGACCCTGAATAAACATAACTTAGAAAAGAGGGAAGGGGCAAAAAGCAAAACAAACAAAAAATACCTCCCCAGTCTATACTGTCATGTCCCAAACACTGGCAAATGAGACCCCTCACACCTCTCCAGACTGTATTGCCATGTCCCCAACACTGGCAAATGAGACCCCTCAACTGGGCCTGATTCCCTAATCCCTCAGGGACCTGGTCAGTCACAGCCCTAGACAGGTCAAGTACCAGGGGATTAGGGACTCAAGCCTAGCCAATGGCCATTTCAAAGATAAACTCCAGCCTCTGCCCCAACCCCAGAAGCTCTGCTGGCTACTAAGCTGTCTCCAAGATCAGTGTCTACCACCACCACCACCAAAAGGGCTTCTCTGGGGGATGACTTCAAACCCTCCTGACCTGTACAGACAAGAAGTAAATCCACCCAGGGGGCTGTGTGTCCTCCTGCCTTTGTCTTTATGACAAGGTCTCGGGCACCTCAGGCCAACAGATGGCTCTTAAAGTATGGGTGAACAGAGCCCCAGAGCACAATAGAGCAGTAGGAAGCAGGGAGGACTCTGCTGGTCAAAGGTCCCCAGGGGATTCTAAGGTCCTGATAATCATACACCAGCAAGAGCAAGATGCAGTATCCCCTGCCTGCCAAACTCTGTCCCCATGCCACCAGGCACTGGTCCCCTAGCTATCTCAAGAGAGCCTATATCCTCATACCATTTCATTCATTATGGGCATCTGAAAAGCTGGCTGAGTGTCCACCTCTCTAAGACAGGGGTCTCCTCTGGGTAGACCAAGATCTAGGTCCCAGGCTCTCTCTCTGAAAATTTTCTCCTCTACACCCAAAACCCAGAGACCCAGAGCAGCAGAAGCTTCAAGCTTCCAGAGGACCCACCAAAAGACATTCTTCCACTCCCCAGGCCAGCCCAGGGACATGCATGCTTCCCAGATACCACCCACTTCAGACCTCAGGGGAGGCCTTGTGGCCTTGTTGGTCCTGCACAGTATCCAAGGCCAGGACAGCAGCTTGGGAGAAATAAAAACTGATTTCCCCCAATAGTGAGATCCAGGGCCCAAGAGACTGTGGCCAGAGAAGGAGCCACATCTCCCTCTTTTGGCCTCATGGGGAGGCTGAGCTAGAAGACCCCAAGTGCAGGTCTTTTACTAGGAAGTGTCCCCAGGAGGCTGGTACTCATCACTATAGAAAGCCAACTGAACCAAAGGAAGCTCGGCCCAGCCTGACTTAGAGTCCTGGAGCCCTGGGCTCTTGGAAGGTTAGTATTGCCCCACTACACCTATCTTCACTCACATTGGGTGAGGGCTCCAGCATGTTGTCCCCATGCCAGCCTGAGATGGGCACAAAGGGCACTGTGGCTGGGTTGTAGCCAATCTTCTTGATGTAGGCGCTGACCTCCTTGACAATCTCATCATAGCGCTTCTCACTGTAGGCTGGTTCCGTGGAGTCCATCTTGTTAACACCCACAATGAGCTGCTTTACGCCCAGAGTATAGGCCAGGAGGGCATGTTCCCGGGTTTGCCCGTTCTTGGAGATGCCCGCCTCAAACTCACCCACACCCGCTGCCACGATCAGCACCGCACAGTCCGCCTAGCCAACAGATCAGAGACAGTGAGCCCCCTGGCCCCACCTTTTACCTAGCCCTACCACCCACAAAATAGGACCTGGGCAGTTATCCTGGGGATGGAGACTCAGGATCTCCTCCTCTAGGGTAGCAGGGGACTCCTTCACTAGGCCCTGAGTTAAGAAGGCCCGAAACTGACCATCAGCTCCAACACCAGCAGGCTATGTGCCCTTGGATGAGTCATTGGCTTCTGGTTCTGTCTTGTCTGCCTGTGATTGTCTTGTCTGACTGATTTTCTATCCACATCTCACTATCCCTAATGTGGCCTCTTCTACAAGAATCTGTCTGTGAAGGACATGCCTACAATTTCCCCTCTGTCTGACTGCTGGCCCCAACCATGGCTGGGTAACCCTGCAGGCACCCCATCTAGCTGAGATATAAACACTGACTCAGTTCTTGAGGGACTCTGTGCCAAGCAGGATGAAGGTGACCTGGGTGGAGCTCTGTCCTGACAGAAAGTACAAGAGACACTGACACCTCAGGAGAGCTCTTGGGCTCGGTACCCTCCCTGCACACCTGAGATGTGCCAGTGATCATGTTCTTGATGAAGTCCCGGTGGCCTGGGGCATCAATGATGGTAATGTAGTACTTGGTGGTCTCGAACTTCCAGAGGGAGATGTCGATGGTGATGCCACGCTCCCTCTCTGCCTTCAGCTTGTCCAGCACCCAGGCATATTTAAAGGACCCCTTCCCCATCTGAAAGAGTAGGGATGCAACTCAGGATAGGACACAGGACTCAGGGGTCACAGCCACCTGCCAGGCCTGCCCTGGGCCATGGAAACAGCCATGAGAGGTTAGGGTTAGGCTAAAGCACCTTGAACCAAAGACCTCTGTACTGTCTCTCTGATGCTGACACCCAAACCCTGCTCTGCCACAAAATGAAGCCACCCAGATCAATCAGCCCCACCCCCACTCCCCTCCTAAGTGGTTATGGACACACCCAGAAGGGGGCATGAGGGTCTGAACATTGCCAGACCTCATTAACCTCTCATCCCTGGCAAAGGGTTCCTCACTATCTGAGGCTAAGACTCCACACCCTAGTCAGTTATAGGTCAATTATCTCATTGGGTTTGGGACTATTGAAAAAAAAAACCTCTGAGTTATTTCAAAAACATGAAATTTTAAAAAAACAAATAAATTGGTCAAGGTTTTGAGAAAAGTCTAGCTTTTCAGCTCTTTCTGTAGCTGATGAGTACTTCTAAAAAGCTCTCCCTCCCCCCTTACACCAAAATAGGAGAAGAAAGAACACCCCCACTCAAAGCAAGGCTGGCTGCTCTCTGCCAACTTGTGCCTGGGTGAGACTGCTACAGCCTGGACCACAACTGTGGTCATTGCTCAGCTGAACACAACTCCTGACCAGAATCTCACAGGACAGGCTTCTGCATTCCAGGGATGCTGCCCAGCCTGGAGGAGCTGGTCCAGACAAAACCCAGCTGGGACCTGACCCAGGTGACCTTCAATCCCTGATCTCCCTGCTACCACCTCCTCTGGGAATACCCCCTAAAGGTGTCCCCAGACACACAGAGTTGTGGCTCAAAACCCACATATACACTGGAGCAGGAGTTCAACACAGAGAGTTGCTGCCCTCAGGTCTGACCTTAGCCCTTTTCCAGGAACCAGTTCTTCCGGGGGCAGGAAAGAGAATCCAGTTACAACCACTGCCCACTCGTAGGTCTCAACCAGGAACAGGCTACCAAGACCCCCCACTCCAGGCACCATCCTGAAGCAACAACCTTCCCCAGCTTATCTGGAGAGAGTGGAGCTGGCAAGACTGCTGCCCATCAATCAGCTATTAATAGCATCCTTGAGCCCTGGCTGTTGCAAGACAAGTGAGGGCAACACCACATCCAACATAGCTTTAGCCCTGGGGAACGAGAGGATAAGGCTTGAGGGCCCTCTGGCCTACTGAGGCCAAGAGTCCAGAGCCCTCTGGTGGACCTGGGCGGGATACACATTCTCCCTCCCTCAGTCTGAAGCAGATCTTGCAACATTCTCAGAGGGAGGCTGCCCTACTTACCCCCACCCCCAGACATCCTTTGCACTGAAGGTATAAACCAAGCAATGAAAGCATTGGGCCCATGGTGCTCACCTCTGCTGCCTCCTTCTCAAACTTCTCGATGGTCCTTTTGTCGATGCCCCCGCATTTGTAAATGAGATGGCCTGTTGTGGTGGACTTGCCTGAGTCCACATGGCCAATGACCACAATGTTGATGTGTGTCTTCTCCTTGACCATTCTGCCTGGTTGAAGGAGGGGCTGGCACTGTGGGGGCTCTGGCTCTGGGTTGAGGGTGTGCTGGGCAGGAACTCTGTGGGGCCAGTGACAAGGGAGATAGGTGATTTTGAGGCCCAGAGAGAGCCCAACAGAGACACCCACACTATTCTTGTTGTTTGAGAGCTTGTCCTCACCCAGTCACCTGAGGTTGGATGAGGAAGAATGGTTGCCCCTCACCCTGATCCTAGCCCAGGCCAGCCAGGTTGCACTCATAAGCCACCTGTTCCTCTACCTTAGCCCAAATGGTTCCTTGGAGTACAAATATTTGGAGAGTTGATTTGGAAGAAAGTTCCTTAAGAAAGGGTTAATCTGGTCTGGACATCACAGAGCAGCAGGCTGAGTGATCCTCTGGAGCAGCCAGGAGCCCTGTGATGAGTCACTGTGCCCAGCTCTCCAGTGCCTCGTCCTCCCTGTCCTCGATGCCGCTACCCCCCCCCCACACACACACACACAAACACACATAGCCCAGGGAGGGACACTGCCCTACCCCCATCTGCTGCCACCATGAAGAAAAGGCCAGCACTCCTCAGCCCCTCCACAGGCAAGGGCGCCATCTTCCCCTCTCTGCCCACAGGCTGGCAGGGGAGACAGCTGGATGGTGCCCAGGCATAGGCCCAGAATAGCTCAGGCCCTCCCCATACTCAAGCAGGGGGCAGCCATCAGGGCTGAGAGGTGAGTGTCCTGTTCTAGCCAGAGGAATAAAAATCTCTCCCTGCCCCAGCTCAGCAAGTGCCCTCAGAAATGCCCTCACCCTTGCCCCTACCATCTGGTACAGGCCCTGGGTCTCAGTACCCACGCATCACAGAGGTCAACGGAGAAGCTCAGGAGGGGGGGCGGGGGGGGCGACAATCCTAGGGTGGGATCCATGTAGGGCGGGGTAGGGGTCCTCAGGTTTCACCACCTCCCCCGCCCCTCTCTGACAAATCACTAACATCCCCAGAGCCCCTAACCACACCAGCACCTGCACCAACCAGCCTGTCCAGCCCCGCAGCGCCCAGGAGAGCCCCAAGGTCACAGTGACAGCGTGATCGCAGGTTTCAGGAGAAGACCCCCTCCCCACAGTCCCCGCCACTGTCACCAAGTAAACAATCGCCTAGGGGGACACACCGCCAGACTGCCACGGGGACCCACCATGCCCGGTGTGCAACCGAGAGACCCCCAACCCAGGGGTGTAGCTCAGCTAGGTGCCGCGTGTCCTCTCTACCTTGGGTTGGGTTCCCAGGGAAACGAACCTTCAGTGGAAACCTAAGCAAGAGTCGCAGACCGGGATGTGCGTCCTTACCCAGAGCCGAGGTCTCAGTCAGAGGGACTGGCGGCGGCGGCGGCGGGGGGGTTTTCTTTCC